TAAATTTTCTTGGAAACTTTGGTGTGAGACAGAAGGGTATCAACTGGATCCTTTGGAGTTGGGTCATGATAGGCTGTAGAGTGTACTTTCTTGTAATGTGCTACAGCAGATATCACTTTGTGATATTCAAGATAGTTGGTTTTGATGCCATATTTATCTATGAAGGCGTTATAGCTTAGAAAATTCTGGTCGTTATCTAACAGATCTCTAATCTCCTTTATCCCCGCGCTCAACCATGATCTGTAGAAGAATGGGCGATTTTCAATTCTAATGTGAGAGTTGTACTATATATATGTGGAGGCAAAATCGAGGTTATCGTCTTTGTAATTAAATTTTGTCCAGTACTGTATGATTTCTTTTAAGAAAGGGTCCTTGAGGTTGAGCAGTGCAGAATCTTGCTGTTTCAAATTGCTTCGGAACAATAGTTTTCCTCCGTACTTCCCTGAGTAGTGGTCAAAAAAAAGTTTCCACTTCCCTTTATTTTCTTCATTTAGATACCCTTGGATCCATTTCATTTTCAAGGATTCATTAAAGCTTTGAATATCTAACATCTTAAGTCCTCCTTTCGCGTAATTATTTATCATTGTCGTCCTTTTGATTTTATCGCCCTTACCGTCGCAAAGGAAATCGTACAATATAGAGTTGATTGTCTTAAGTATGTCAGGAGGTGTTGGAAGAGATGACAATATGTAGACGATTTGTGATACGGCTAGAGTTTTTATGATTGTAATTTTACCCAAGAGGGTCAGTCTTCTAGCCGACCAATTATCTAAGATACTCCTTATTTTCTCAATTTTCTCAATAAAGTTAGAATTAAGAGACCTATCTTCCAAAGTCGAAAACCACACTCCCAAGGCGAAGACCTTCTCGTTTGCCCAAGTTATTGGTTTACTTGAAGGGAAAGTGAGATTAGAACTTTTAGAGGCGCCAATCCAGAGGGCTTCAGTTTTTTCATAGTTGACCTTCAAACCCGATATGCAAGCAAAAGCATCAAGTAAGTACAGAGACCTCAAAAAGGAGGACTTGGAGCCATCCAAAATCATAGTCGTGTCATCTGCATATTGGGATAACTTACACTCAGTATGAAAAATCTTTATTCCACGGACCTCATTATCTTTCCTTACTGTATTACCTAGTATTTCAGCGCACAAAATAAATAAATATGGGGACAGCGGGCATCCCTGTCTCACACCGCGACCTAAGTTGAAAAAATCCGAAGACCATCCGTTGTTCAGAACACAGCTGCTGATATCGGTATAAAATACTTTTACCCAAGTACATGTATCTGATATGATGGTAGACCGTGTAGACCGTGTAGACCGTTGACGCACATAAATTCCTGACGTTGCTATGCTGGAAAATTACTATTCTTGAGGACAGTGACTTCTTTTTTGCAAAGAAATACATTTTGTTACCAAGTGTAGAATACAAGGCCACGTTATATGCGAGCTCTCGCGGCTATGTTACTGAAATACGCGCGTGAATTTTCACGTTATCTGATCACTAGGCACACTCGGGCTTCAAAATCGAAACAAAGTTGTAAGACAACCAAAACGTAAACATAAATCCAAACTTGTGTTAAGTAAAATAAAGTCCACAACAGCTACTTTTTAGCGTAATTTTTCTTTCCTGTAAATGGCAGGCGATGAAAGAGGAACCATTTCCACGTACTTATCACAAACAACAACAAAAAGCTATCTCCTTGATCTAGCGGGGCATCTTAGGTCACTTTCCTTTCATAAATAAACGTCTTTTACCCGAGTTAGAAGAAAGTATATTATTTTTCGCATCTTTGTAGCGTGTTAGGACAAAAAAAACCCTTTTCGTTGCAGCTTACTCAAGATTGTGTGGCATCTTCTGCCAAGCGCTCCCTTTAAAAGCCCAATTTCCAGCAAATTACCACATAAACAAAAGTGGAAAAAACTGATGTTTCGTCTCGCCATTTTAAAACACGCAAACCTAGGGAAATGAAATGCTTTTTTTTTTATAACCACCTCCTTAGGTGCAAAAAGTGCACCACGTTTCACCCTGTTTAATGATCGGGCACCACGGCAATAGAGGTATGAAGGACTCAGACAACCAGCTGCAAAAATGTTGAGGCACCCTCACGAAAAAACAACTTGTCTTGCTTCAAATCGCTGCTGGTCACAGGTCTGTGAGATAAAATAGTGACCCCCCTCCTCCCCCCCATTCAAAGTTGTTCCTCCAAGTTTTGAGCATGGTCTTGTATTGCTAGCAACTTTGAAAAGGGGTGGAGGGAGGGTCACGAGCTCAAGATCATGGACGGGCCATTTAAGCCAATTAAAATACGGTACACTGTCGCAAGTACTTTTGCAACTGGTTGTCTCATTTACGTTTTACTTCAAACAGCGATTTCCACGTCTCATCTTCCCAAAGCGAAGACTATAGCGAGATAAATAAATAGAATGGCACTTTCTGTTGCTTTTCCCAGCCGACACATCCTTGTCATTGATAGCAAAACTGCATAAAAAAGCGCTTAAGAATGTAGAGACTTTAAAATTTTACCTCAATTTTGTTGTAACGCATGTGCTATTAATTATATACCGTGACATGGCTGTTCCGGCGTGGTGATTAAACTCTGAGAAGTGTGAATGCATAATCACAGCATACTTTTCCTTTTCTTGGTATTTAGAGATATTATGGTTGCGAATAAAGCTGCCAAACCTCCATTTTCACCCCTGTATCTGTAACGCAATGACATTTGATATGCAGTGGCGTTATGTAATCGGTATACCGCCTGACTTATTTTTCAACCCCGCTGTAAAAGTAAAACCGTTCAGTTTTTTTCATCTACTACAGTGAAAATAAGATAGTTATTAACGTCCGTTACAGCTAGAGAGCAGAAAAAGTTGTGTGCTATGTTCGTTTCTATTTTCTGACGGTCTACCATCAATCACGGTCTACCATTCTGCAACAGTAAGAAATATGATATATCATTATATTTACACTCTTTTTTTTATATAAGAATGTTTTTCTGGCCCAGGCTGAATATTCTTATATTTCTGCCGATTTTAGGCTGAAAATATTCTTGTATTATTCTTATGTTATAGCTTATGTCATTTTCGTTTTAGAATATATTGGGGTATCAAGTATAGTTAGTGCAGGTTTTTTGCCTTGTTGGCAAGTTTTGCCGTTCAGAGAATGGAATAAGTTGAAAACATATAATTGTATGGTATTTACAGTTNTTTTGTTGTAACGCATGTGCTATTAATTATATACCGTGACATGGCTGTTCCGGCGTGGTGATTAAACTCTGAGAAGTGTGAATGCATAATCACAGCATACTTTTCCTTTTCTTGGTATTTAGAGATATTATGGTTGCGAATAAAGCTGCCAAACCTCCATTTTCACCCCTGTATCTGTAACGCAATGACATTTGATATGCAGTGGCGTTATGTAATCGGTATACCGCCTGACTTATTTTTCAACCCCGCTGTAAAAGTAAAACCGTTCAGTTTTTTTCATCTACTACAGTGAAAATAAGATAGTTATTAACGTCCGTTACAGCTAGAGAGCAGAAAAAGTTGTGTGCTATGTTCGTTTCTATTTTCTGACGGTCTACCATCAATCACGGTCTACCATTCTGCAACAGTAAGAAATATGATATATCATTATATTTACACTCTTTTTTTTATATAAGAATGTTTTTCTGGCCCAGGCTGAATATTCTTATATTTCTGCCGATTTTAGGCTGAAAATATTCTTGTATTATTCTTATGTTATAGCTTATGTCATTTTCGTTTTAGAATATATTGGGGTATCAAGTATAGTTAGTGCAGGTTTTTTGCCTTGTTTGCAAGTTTTGCCGTTCAGAGAATGGAATAAGTTGAAAACATATAATTGTATGGTATTCACAGTTTTTGAACACACAAAATTATATCCTTTTCAAAACCTCAGCCTGGGGTTTATTCTTAAAATATTCTTAAAATTTCGCAAATTTCAGCCTCGATATTCTTATAAAATATATTCTTATAGAAAAAAAAGAGTGTAACCAGAGAGGTTCCAAAATTATTGTACTTCAGAGCTTTTTCTATAAAGGACCATTCAATGCTATCGAAGGCTTTTTCGAGGTCGACAAACAGTAGTAGACCGGGTATTTTTTCTGTATTTGTGTAATTAATAATACTATCAATAAGTCTGATGTTTTCTCCGATAAATCGGCCTTTTAGAAAACCAGTTTGATCGTTGTTAATTATCCTTGGTAGAACCTTTCGTATTCTACTTGCAATGGATTTGGTGGCTATTTTGTAATCGCAATTAAGCAGGGTGATTGGCCTCCAATTTTTTAGCAGGTTGGTCGGTTTGTTCTTCTTTGGTATGAGAGTAATCAATCCTCTTCTTTGAGTAATCGATAAGAGACCTTTTGTATATGCACAATTTAAGGCATTTAACAGATGCTGATTGATGTCATTCCAAAAAACTTTATAGAATTCGGCTGGGAGGCCGTCACTTCCAGGGCTCTTGTTTGATTCCATTGATTTTAAACTTTCTAAACATTCAGAGGCAGTCAGGAAGCCTTCACACTCTTTTTGCTCTTGCTCATTTAGGATAAGAGTATTTCCGTCTGGAAAAAACATACTTTCTTCCTTAGTGTCGGGTTGCGTATTAGCTGAAGAATAAAGATTCTGATAGAAGGATTTTGCTTCTTCTAGGATCTCGCTATCTGTATTGACGACATTATCATTTGCTAATGTGAGGTGTTTGATGGTTTTTTTATTGAAATGTCGTTTTTCCAAGTTTAGGAAGTATTTTGTATTTTTCTCTCCTTCATTATGCCACCGAGACTTGGATCTTAATATTGCTCCTCGAGTTTTATATTTTGAAATTTCTTCTCTTTGTAGAATCTTAACATCTATTTCACTATAAATATGGACTTTCTCATTTTCAGAAATGTTGTTTTCTTCTAACTCCTTTTGGAGAGACAATATTTCAGATTCAAGTTTTAACTCAAGTGATTTCATTTTAGCTTTCTTTCTCCTTGCATAGTTTAGAGAGCTTGACCTAATTTGCATCTTCATGGTGTCCCATAATAGAATGGCATCAATCTCGTTATTGTTCGCATATTCATTTGCTACATCAGTGATTGTTTTCTTAATTAGGCCGACATATTCTTCATCTAACAGAAAAGAGGTGTTCAATTTCCAAAAACCCGGGCCCCTGGGGTTTGCATCATTTGCCAAATGAATAGATATTAAAGAGTGATCTGTTTTGTACCCAGGTAATATGTCTGCATTGGTGATAGTTGTACTTAAGCTAGAGCTTGTCAAAAAAAAGTCTAGACGGCAGTGTATGTCAGGTTTTCTTCTCCTCCAAGTGAATCTTTTAGCTTCTGGGTTAAAGCAACGCCAAATGTCTATGAGATCCAATACGTTTGAAATGTGCTTGACCTCTTTTAACGAGTTGTTGTGGGTTACTGGTCTTCCACCTTTTTTGTCTTTTTGGACATCAAGCACTAAATTAAAGTCTCCACCAAGAATTATCTCGCTGCAGTCAAAACAGAGAAGTTGGTTTAGAACGTTTTGGAAGAATGTAGGCTTGTCTTCATTCGGTGCATAAATATTAACCAAAGTTAAGATCTTACTTTCTAATTTGATATCAACCATGACGAACCTTCCCTCTGGATCGGAAAAGGATTTTAAAATTTGAAAGTTGAAATTATTATTAAAAAGCACACATACTCCGGCGCTGGCGCTAGAGAAGCTGCTGAATATGGCGGAATACCCCCACTCCGCGGACCATATGTGCTCTTTGTCTTCTGTACAATGAACTTCTTGTAAAAAATAAACGGCATATTTCTTCATCTTAAGCCAACGGAAGGTCTCACGCCTTTTCATGATGTTCGACAAACCTCTCACGTTTAATGAGCAAATTACTAATTCGGCGTTGTATGGGATAGTTTGTGGATGCTTATAAACAAAGCAATTGAAAAACGTAGATATGTTTCGAGTATGCAACTAATTTGTATGACTAAACAAAGAAAATAAATATTGCCACCAAAAACAGAAGGGTACGAGGCTAAAATAAACAAATAAATCAAGCAAAACATTAAAAGTCCGTTGGTTGGGTCCATAAGGAGTCTCAGAAGAACTTAGTCTGATACGGGAAGCAGCCGTACGTTCGCGTGACAATGGAAAAACAGAAAATTTAGATTAAATGTCTCCATTAAGCCTGTGCACTGGATTGAGGAGGTCTAAGGTCTTCAGGGATATTACTTACTTTGTAAATAACATTGTTGATAATAAGCTTTCTATCGATAACTTTTGCGCTCAAACCTCGCTCCTTTGCTTGGAACATCGCTTTGATTAATACTTTCCTTTCCTGCTGTATCGCTTTTGCGTAATCTTGCGTTATGTATACATCCTTAGCTCTCGATGAATCTTTCAACCTGTTTCTCTCTCGAAAAACTGCGTCTCTGTCTTCCCTGCTGAGGAAGCGTGCAATAATTGGTCTCGGGAAGCTTTTGGAGGCATCTTCTGAGCGCGGTTTCCCAACACGATGAACTGCATGGAAGTGAATATCTTCTACATTGATATTCATGTCATTTTCAATTATATCATACACTACATCCATGCAATTTTCGTCATTGCGTTCAGGTACATTCATAAATCGAAGATTCTCGCGTCTAGAATAGGTCTCCAAAGCAATAATTTTCTCCTGTTCTTCAAGCAGCCTTGTTTTCAAATTTTCGATTTCAGCTTGTTGGCTGTCAACTTTTTTGAGGTTTACTTTGAGCAGGTCTAGTTCTTGGCGATGAGAGTCGAGGCTTTGTTGGCATGTTTTCTTGTAGTCGTTGTGGGTTTTTGTTTCTTCTTGAATGTCGTTGATTGAATCCCAAGCCGCCTCTAGAGATTTTTCTACGTCTCTCAGGGACTTTTTCACACCATCAAGTTCTTGTTTCATTTCGTGTCTCAAGATTGAAATTTCGGATGTCAGGTTTCCAAAATGCTCTTGCATTTGAGTATCTAAACGAGAAAGTTTGTCCATAATTTGGTTAAACTGCTCCAGGCTAAGGGCCTCAGATTGTTTGCTGTCTTCCATCACAGTGCTGCTAGAGCGACGATTTCTTTTGGGCGATGGCGTCTGTTGTGAAGACGAGCTTGATGATCTGTTTTCTCGCTCGTTTCTTTTAGACATTAGAGGCTGTCGGGTCTACCGCCAGATTTTGGCATCGATGTTTCATTACCAAGATATTAGAATACAAAAATGACGCAAAAATTCAACGTTAGGCGTACTTCCCGTCCACAAATTTACGCAGCGACAGTGACACGTCTTGCCGCCATGATTGCTCGACCCAATTCCCATCCTAAAATTTTTAGGAAATACTAAATAAAGATCAATGAAACTTACTCTGCAGTTAGTTGTTGTTGTCCTTAATGCTCCAACGACGTTTCGTGATAATTTGCAGTAATTTGTCCAAATTCACTCTATATACAATAATAATATACACGGTAGGAGACACGAGATGCCATCTTCGTCGCCATGCCCTCATTCAACTGCAACTTTTTCCACGAAATTCGAACTCCAACAGAAAATAAACTTGCCAGGATCGCAGTAATAGGATAGCAGCAGATATAGAAGCCAATAAAGCTTTCCCAGATAGAAAAACGAATCCCGCAGACTTTGACAAACTCGAAGGATGTAATCCAAAAAGGCCGAGAATATGCTCGCCGAAGTTACCGGGCCAAATCAACGCGCGGCCAAGAAAATGAGGCCTGGGCACTGTACAAAAAAATCCATCACGGATCCCGGGTGTCCTGCGTAGCCTGCGTAGCTGGCGGTATTGTGTGGGTGCGAGATTAAAGTTTTGGCGGCGGAGCCGTGTTCCAAAAAAAGGGAGTAGGGACGAGGCGGTTGAAATACCGCCTGCCAGAAAACCCCGGTATTTTGAATAGTCCGCACACCGGTGTGCGGGGAAACGGATTGGTCGAGGGCCATACATATGTCAATCATGTTAGATGAGCCTTCGCATATATTTCCCAATTTAGGGAGCAGATGGAAAACTGAAAAAGACGTACATGTAAAGTGATTGTGATTTCCGCTTTAAAAAGAGCATAATTGATGACCAAATTGCCGAAATGGCGTCTTTAAACTTAACAGCGCTGTAATTGTCTTTATTTAGCCGTAAGAACAAAGGTCAAAGAAAATTGAAACACTATACAACTGCATCTGAGATCAAATCCTATCAGGAACACCTACAGAAGAATAAACCACCGGAAATGGTTACTCAGTATGCATGTAACAAACCAGTTTCATGACCTTTTAATGTTAAGCCTGGTGTTGCAAAAAAAGATTTACTCAGTCAAAGTTTAGAATGATACATGCACTGTGTAGTGCTAGTAACCTTCGCGCGAGAGCCGAGAAAATAAAAAACCCCTCTGTTCAAGCAAACTCACAAGGTCACGTTTTTCATTATCACCAGCTTAGGAGTCGTGTTTAGCCTGTCAACGCTTATTTCTAAACTGTCCCGCGCGAAAATAATCGTAAGTTTCAAATTGCGGGTTTCTCTTTGACTGGCTGATTTAATTGCGATCAGCTAATGTGACAAAAGTGGGCGGCATTAGAAAAATCATGGTTCTCTGGCAGGCGGTATTTCTCGCGGCTTCGTCGCTCGTGACGGCTCCGCCGTCAAATCTCACTCGACTATATTACAACGGCTCCGCCGCCAAATCTCACTCGACTACTACACAATACTGTCAGCTACGCAGGCTATGTCCTGCGTTGACCTTTCTAGAGACCAAGGATACTTAGCTTTACCAAAGTTTTAGCCACCCCTGCTGGAAATACATTTGCTCGACGGCTATTGTTTACTTGAGAAAACACGATTCGCCCAAGCAAACTACATGTTCCAGTGCACGTGGAAATTATATTTACAATTTTGAAGAATTTTTCCAAAATTATCCGTGACTCTTTGAGCGAGAACGGTAAGTGGGGTATCAAACAAAACGGGAATCGATGTATCGGCAAAGGTATTGTGTTACATTGTCACGTATGTCTCTTAGAGCGTGACATGTAGCCAGAATTTCTTTGGAAGATCGATGATCTATAATGTTATTCCTCGGGATAAAGTAATTTGGAAGACATCTCTGGCATAGAATGCGATGAGAAAGTCCAGGAGATTGAAAATATTTTTGGCCAAGCTGTTCTTGACCCAAAACTCAATTCCTTTCTCTTCGAGAAACCAAAATAAACTTGTTTTGAGATGGTACGAAGAGAACACGTCCAGCCCACGTAGCTTCATTTCATTCTTGATTAACGCCTTTAAAACTGAATAAGCCAGCTTTTGTTTCTCTGACAACGATCGGGCAAGCATTAACTGAGCTACAGAGAACGAAAATCTCCACTCGAAATCTCNTAAACTTGTTTTGAGATGGTACGAAGAGAACACGTCCAGCCCACGTAGCTTCATTTCATTCTTGATTAACGCCTTTAAAACTGAATAAGCCAGCTTTTGTTTCTCTGACAACGATCGGGCAAGCATTAACTGAGCTACAGAGAACGAAAATCTCCACTCGAAATCTCTCAAAACGCTGTGTGACCCAACGGGTACGATGTGACAACCTTGGGCTAATATTGTGGAAACCATTGCGGTGCTGGGCCAGCAATATTCTCGTTTACGATGTACCCATTCTTCTCCTTGTGAAGGCCAAAATGAACATTTTAGGCCATAAACGAAATCACGATTAACCATGAATGTTCCCATTGTGTAAGGGAGAGAGAACGAAGGATCCGTAATTGAACCTTCCCCAGCAGTAATCAAGCTGAGCTCGGTTGAGTGGAATTAAATCCTTACATTCGTCGATGAATTTTAACTTCTGGAGGCAGTGTTCCCGAACGAAATCTCCTTCTGCTGGCTGGAAGAATTGTCTCTTCATCAAGTGTGCATAGCCAGCGTGTGAAGCATCAAAAATGTAAAGAATATTTTTGGCTTCCTCTTCATTCGTCGAACTAAAAGCTAATAATCTAATGTTTTCTTATTCCTAAGTTCATTTACGTTTGTTCGACAATCCCACCACCAAAGAAAATGGGTAAAATGCTGTTTACAATCTGGGGGAAAGGCGAATACACGGAAGAAGGGTTAACAATGATAGATTTAGCCCTGAGTGCATAATAAAATCGTCATATGTTCCATTACGATTTTACAGGACTTTTCAGTCCTAAAAAAGAAATCAGTTCTCTGTTGTTTAACGTGACAATACATGCAAAATTTATCTGCTACGTTATAAAAGATGTTGTATAGAGCACAACCTCTGCTGATAGACAGCCACTGTTCAAAGACTTTTGTCGGCAATTAAAGGTACCCCACAGTCGCATAAGACTTTATATAGCTCTCCCACAGACATAAAACGCTGTCCTGCGATAAAACCTATGAGACCTTCGACTGGATTTTGGGTACGTTTGTCGAGGTAGCAAATCTCCTCTTGACTCAAACCCAGCTTCTCAGCAACCAACTTCCACTTATCGTCGCCTGCGACTAAAAAAAAGAGAAAACAAAACACTGAGTTCTTTACAATGTGCCAATTTATGAAGTGGAAGGTGGCATTACATACCTGCTGTCGAACGACAACCTACACACTTCGTGGAATGAGTTTGAACTCTTCGCTCCTTATAAAGTGGTTGGATCACTTGATAAATTTCCTTAATACTCTTAAATCTTATCAAATATCGACAAATAGCTTAGAAGATCACGAAACATTAACGTTTTCGGATTCTAAATTTCTAACTAGCAGGTATATATGGACCGGCCATCAAAATAGGCTGCATGATTATACGTAACAAGGTAAAAAATCCTGAACTAGAGGAACCTTTTCTGTCAAGAAAACGTTTGTGGTTAACAAACTAATAAACGAAATAGGATTGATTTAAACTCAAGTTTCATACCAGTCAAGTTGATGGAAAGCTGTCTTGCTTGGGATAAAGGGATCTTTCTCACGTCAAGGGATTCAGATAACAAAGGACCTAAAAAATCGAACATACAAAGATACCATTGCAGCCAGGTAATACGGCCGGGCTACGGGGTGTCAGGATCGGGGTTCTGTGGTCCGTAGAAAACACGGAGTCCCGGGGCCCTCTGAGACCGGGTCTGTCGCTAATTACTTGTATTTCTCCTTTTATAATTTGCGGATCAGTCTGCTTTGTTTATGGGACGGCTTTATGATTAGGCAGGGCAATGAATTTTGTTTATTCACATGAAACTAAGAAAAAATAGCTGCTTTGCTGTTTTTGATCTGTTTTGTTCAATGATGATATGAATAGAAAAGAAAGAAACCGCCTCTACATGCAGCCTGTTCCAGGCATTAAGATAGTGGGAACGACGCAAAGAGATGTGGGCGGAAAAAACCGGGTGGGTAGGGGAAAAAAGGGAGATAGGATGAAAAAAACTCCAATCTCCCTCTACCTCTAATCTGCCTTATTTTTTTCTCTCTCTCCGCTTTTTATTTCGCGCCACTTTTCAACCTCGTCCCCAGGACTTTAAGACAAACGCCCTGGGGATGTAAGAATTTTCAACTGTATTCACAACCTTAAATAACTCAAGTCATGGTCACCATGTTGATTTTTTTCTTTCTTAAAATGAACAGGATAAAATTGAGTTATTGAACACAAGATTGTACCGTCAATGTTTGAATAACCCCTCCCCTGCCCCCTCAGATTAAGAACTCACTGAATATATAGGATCAACCTTTGTTACACGGCGCTCCAGTGACCACAAACAATGAAACGAGGTGGAGGGTTAGGTGGACAGTTTCACGAAAATAACTGAGATTTGTTACCCAAATCATCGATAGCGCCCTCACTCGAATTAGCGCCCCCTCTAGACTCAGAAAATTATGTACTAAACGCTCCAGATTAACTCGAGGATGTACGGAAGTCCAATCCAAGAACGCACTCTGAATACAAGAGATCTTGGAATAAGATCACAAGAAAAGTCAAAAAAGGTTTAAGTTGAGGACGCTACACCTCCAGGGGCCGGACCAAAAAAAAAAAGTCCAAAACAAAAACTATATTCACCAGTAGTCCCAGCAGGTGTTATTTCCCTTAAATATTTGACCACATCAAGTCTGCCTGAATGTCGGGCTTCTCTGGCCAAGCACTGAATCCATTTCTTGGTCTCATGGTCAGGATGTTGCAGAGAAGCATGGTCCAACTGAAGTGTTTCCTGCAGTCTGCTAACAATTTCCTTGGAATTGCATGATTCGGACGAAAGATTGTCTAATACACTGCTACGAACTGCTAGGGCTTTGTCTTCATTTCCTAGCAAGTTAAATATTTAGAAAGGTTACTAACGTATTGGTACTTATTACATACATACCGTCTGAGATATACTCACCGAAAGCTATCTCGTAAACTTTCATACACAAATGAGTTACCCAAATAGAGAAGCGATGTTTTTCACACGTGAAAAACAAGATACTGTACGACCAATCAGAATCGTAAACGATGTTTTTTTCACGTGAGAAAAATGATCATCCAATCAAAAGCGTGCGTAAGTTTCGCGCCAAGTTTCCCGCCTTTAATAGGTGCATGCAGCGCCCTCGCTTGCGAGTTGCTTCGCAGTCGTTCAACGAGATAATCTGTTGTTTTACAAGAAGACAAAGGAACGATGCTGCGGATATTGTAATTGCTGGTTTACACGTGACGTCACGGCGGCCATGTTGGTGGTCAAGAACAACAGCATTTCCCTCCTCTGGGAACTAAACTCTATTTTCACGTAAATTCTTCGAAAAAAAATTCTTTTGTATTGACCCCCAACATGGCTGCCTTGTCATGTGGTTGCAAACCAAGAATAGACTAGCAGCTTTGCTGATTCATTTTTATGAATCTGTTTTGTTCAATGATGATATCATTTGAAAAGAAAGAAAGAACGGCTCTACCCTTCCCTTTATCCGGGTATTCTTGGTGTTTGACACCCTGTTGGTTCGCTTTTGTTTTGCGGCGTGGGTATTGTTCAGTATCTTTTCAATCTTTTGTATTACGTCATTTGGTGATTGCACCTATCTGCAATACCAAGAAACTATTCTTTATCCTAAGATCTTCAGTCATGAACAAACAACAGAGAAGAGTCAATAAAGAAAGAAAGAAAGAAAAAGAAAGACATGAAGCTACCAAAACGACAGTACCTTTAAGGGAACAATCATGATGCAATATAATCGGTTAAAAATGACTCACTCATAGCCCATCAACTGAGTTCAGTGGTGGAAATTACTGTCGGACATCGGACATTGTCCGACCAAAATGCTGTAAATGTCCGACTAATATTGCAATATGTTCGGACATTATGTCCGAGCACTTCATTGACTTAGCTCTTGTCTTAAAACGTTTTTTACACCCCTGAGTTGATTTCAAAAACATAAAAAAGTAAAACGCTGTGATAAAAGTCAACTTTGCATTTCGCTGAAAGACTGGATCGGGAGAAATACTTCTTTTTTGGGGAAACTCGAAACTTCCACGTATCGTATTCGTCTTTCTATCTGGCGAAACGAAGTAGCTCTCTTTGTTAGGGAATTACTGGGCTCTACTTTCCATATATGGAAATCTAATTTATGCAACTGAAGCACATGCTTTGCCAAATGGCGGGAAGCGGTCATTCGCGTTCCACTGGTCTATTTAGACTATTTCGTTTCTTTTTCAAAGCTTGAGATTTTGAAAATTGTTTCTAGAATCATGAAAATTTCGAAGGAAAGATTATTTCTTTAAAAAAAAAAATAACAGAGTCGCCAATGTGAAGGATTCGAATAGGTTCTTGAAAGGGGTTACCCAGAATCATTGCTTGGGTTTTCCTGTCATTTACTATCAAGAGATTTGAGGCAAACCAGGTTGAAAGCATGACTGTATTAACTCAGATTAGCGCAACCCTTGAATAAGTGTCACCAAGAGCCATGGCTCTTGGCGCCACGGCCCCCTTATAATGAAAATCAAAAGAAGTTAATTCTGTTAGTTTAATACAGCAAATAAAAATATCATAGTCAAACAATTCTTTGCACGTCCAACTTTCAAATAAATGCTATGAGTGCCTCGGCGCTTATTTGAGTAACTACGGTATGCTAATTAATGTCCGACCAATATTCGAATATGTCCTTTCAAAATGAAGGTTTGAAAGGACACATATCCTTATAAGTAAGAAAAGTTATTTCCAGCACTAGAGTTAAAAGCCACTTTCAGTGAGACAGGAACCTCTCGCAGCTTCTATGGCAATAAATATGTTTAAATAACGGGGATTGTTCTTTAGCGACTGAAGCTCGCCCGGAGAGTGAAGGAAATCACCCAGACCTCGTAGTTACGGTCAAGAAGATGAAACAGATCTACATAATTGAAATGGCGTGCCCGAGTTGGAGGGATAGGGCAGATAGGGAAGAGCTCAAAACCATGAAATATAACTTAGAGAGACATCCAGATTTTAAGGTTGACCAAGTACTTGAAGGATACATGAATAGTGTGCGAAGCTGGTGGGATTTTAGTGGGCGAGTGCTGTATGTTTGTTTGTTTGTTTTTTTTTTGGCTGCGGATCCGCGAGAAAATTGGAATTCCTTCGCGGCTTTGCCGCTCCCGAAAATCTCTCATGGTTTTACCGATTGCTTCGTGTAGCGGCTACGCAGTTGCCCCTTTTGTAAACGGTCGCTGCCATTCATAAAACACTTGGACCTGTTATTGAGAGTTTTCCTACTAAAAACTCAGGGTCGAACCCGGACCTTTCGTATCCTTATCTCTCTCCCTTACCACTACACTACCACACCGACCCACCAAATTCCGAAAAATTTAAGTACATAAAACTAGCAAACTGTCTTTCTTAACTGATATATCAATATCAAGTGACAATAACCCTTTCCATACCTTTTGACGTCAATTCAACTCGGGCTTCAACGTGCTTCGTTCTAAGACTATTCAAAAACGTATTATTACATCTATCATGACTAAGGGCTTGGTTACCAATGGTGGCATCGACCGTTAAAAATGGCAACGACCGTTTACGAAATGGGGAATAAGCGACGGCTCCGCCGCCAAGAAAGTACTCCGGGCATAATAATTCCGCCACCTATATACGCAGACTAGGACATAAAGGGATCTTTATTCTGGCAGACATTCTTCAAATAGCAGTTGTCATCCGTTGAGTGATGTTGTTTGCTATTCTTGCTATGTTTTTAGGAAGTAATTTCGTTAAATCTCGCGCCAATTAGTCCAGCTGTTCCAAAACAGCTGATCATGAACTATCGCGCCTTCTGCTGTCCCTTTTCTTGTCGATGTCAGTTCAATTGACGCTAATTGTACATCTTCTACGCCAGCTAGTTTTGAAAAATTAGCCAGGGGATTTAAGCCATCGAAACGGAGACATAATGATGAGTATGAGGGTCCCGAAGAGGTTTCTCGGGATGCTGGATTTGCCTTATCTGAAGGCCGGGATTCGGGATTTCAAAGCGATATTGGGGCGAGTTTCGGGATTGAAAGTATGCGCGGGATGTAGGATGCCGAAAATATCCATCAGGACTACGGGATTGGGCGAAAATTTGAATCGGGATTACAGTATTGAAGTACCCTGTTGGAGACTTCGGGTACCATAAAGATGTTTTCCAGAATAGTCGTTTGCACATCACGCTTACCTTCATCAGACGTAAACCCCCCGTCACATTCATCAATTGCAAGCTGTGATTAATAAACAGAAAAAACGTTAATAAATGGCTTAAGCCCTCACCTTCAAAGTTTGCATAAGATGGTTAGCGCAGCGCTGTAGTGTAGAACAAGTGAAATTCCTTGGGAGTAATCCCTGATAGCTATGATGGCCTATATGGGGACGCTCAGCCCGAAAGGACTACCTTTTGTGGGCTTTACATAAAATAAAAGGGTAAGGATTTCAGTGTTCTAAACTAGTGCACTCTTTTCCCATGGTAAAACGTTATCGTCCATATGTTTTCCACATGGAAAAAAGAGTTTTTTCCATAGAATTTTGGGTAAGAGGTTGGAAGTCTGGGCGGAGCCTCCCCGTATTGTGCGCTGTTATCAGCAAAAATGACGCCTTAAAGGTCGAGCGTGGCACTAGCATCAAAAACAAATTTCCGCCTTGTTTAAAGGCAAAACCATCAGAGCGTTTCTTTGTTCAAAAGAAGATTAAGTGTACCAGTAGGCGGGGATTAACAAAAATTACAGTTTTTTTTTTCTGCACGCCAGCAAATGTCCTAATTAAACTTTGAGGTAATCTTCTTGCAGAAAATGTTTAACACTTCAAAATATTTCGACGTACAGTTGATAACTATTTTACCTATTCTACGAAACCTTTGAGTTTGTTTGCTTAGAAATGAGAGATGACGTTTCCACTTCTTTTGATAAAATTGTCTTCTGACTTCACAATCTTTGTAGCCTGTTCCAGGCTCTCAGATAGTGGGGATGACGCGTTAGTGGAGGAAATCACCGGAGCTTTCCCCCCCCCCCCTCTCTTGTAAGACCTGCATGCTTTACAGCGTCTTAGTCGTTATTAGATAGGCTATTTATGGATACATTAAATAGCCAATCTAAAATTTCCCAGCCGATCAAAGCAGAGAAGAACTTCTATCAAATGAGCAATTAACTTGATAAATTAAATCATTCATTGGATAATGATTTAACTTCTTCCTTGAGTTCAGAGAGATCAGAATCTGGCAAAGAAAGGGATTTCAGTAAATAAAACACAAGAAAATGTTAGGGGAAGGGAAATCGTACATATTCTGAAAGTCTAATGCGCACAGGCTAACAATTATTGAAAGCCGGGTATGAATAGTTATTATAAATTATGTTATTACCTGGTGTCCTGAGGAGGGAAACCAAGGCGAAAACTGCATGACCTGCAGTTTGGGGTTTTGAGCAACAGAAGATCTGGTACACGAGATATGTCTCATATCACTGCACAACTGGGGCACGCTCCAGAAGTGGAGGCACTGTTCTTGTTTGCAATTTTTTGCGCGGTGTGTGCGGCAGAAATCAACGGCCCTTTCGCTAGAGCAGACGGGACAGAGGACACAAAGTTCATATGCCACGTTTTTCAACCAGGGAAATTCATTGCGCATAAACTCAAGTATCAAGCTAAGTTGCCTACACACCTGACGAGCACACATTTCCTCCTCAATGTCAGGTTGCAAGTCTGCTGAGGTTCTACGCTCAAGTCTAGAATTCCCACCATGAACAACTACCTCAACGAATGAAGAGTGGCATAAAAGGTTCACGGAACAGACACCACCAGAGGTGTAAAACCTGGCAAAATCGTGAAACAGGTGAGGTGTTGCTCGAGCCCAAATTCTCTCTTCGCCCCACTGGAGGAACTGTACGATTAGCCGGGGAAAAAAGCCTGCAGGAACTTGATTGCTTGTAAATTTTACAAATAATGAAGGAATCTTTGCAGTCTCAATCAGATCAAGAATCTCCTTCGATGGATGGGACATCAACATCGAAGGGACAAGATATTCCTTGCTGTCTGAAGAATGGGATAACCAAGGGCAGAGTAAGCTAAATCTCTCCATAATTTCAATAAGAATATCTGAGGTTTCTTTGCTCTCAATCAAAGGATCCCATACATGCGTCAAGAGCTTTTCATCGAGTAAACCCTCTGTTTCAAGCTTCTTCCATAGCTTTTCAAAGTTTTCCTCCTTAGAATCATACGGCCTGACAGTTATCACCTTTTTAAACACGTCAACTAGCCACTGAGGGTCCAAGACTACCAGTTTTTTCAACTGCACACTGTCATCAAAATGAACAAGGCTTCTTAGGTCATGCAAGTAGTTCATCAAGGTATCAAATTCGTTGTTGTCGGTAATGTTGCAGACTTTTGTAGCCATACGTTTTGCTGATTCCAGGGAAATGCATTTGTTTCCCTTTAAATTTTCTTTCACGGCCTGCAGTACCTTCTCAAATTTTAACCACTTAATAGGAACTGCCTTGTTAATGTCAGGTAGCTCTTTGGCGACAGCAAGTACTTTCTGCCGCAAACGCACAACCTCTGGGCAATCAGACTTTTGGACACTGAGGCTTGTGTTATCTACGAAGAATACATCACACAAATGTTCCCCGTACGGCTTACTTTTCAAACAACCAAAGATCTTACGGGCTTGTTTTCTGGGATTAAAGCACTCATCCGCATGAGTGCACACCAAGAAAACTGGAGGAAGCTTTTTAGGCAAAACGTCTGAGGTGGCATCTGCCTCTTGACAATCGACCAATGAAGCCACAGATGTCATCCAAAAATGAAGATAATCTAAATTGGTTTTCAGATTAAAGCTGTCTTGAATTTCTTCGTACAATCCTTGTTTCACCACGGGTTTTGGTACGTCGTCAGGCTTCAGACTTAGATCATAAAACAAGCAGTAGATTGCCTTCCTCGTAAGAAACAGTGGGTGCGTCGCGTAATAAACGGACTGTCCTGCAAAATCCCATAAGGTAGAATAAATGTCCTCCCCACTTTCCTCCAAGTTACGTTGAAGTAGTGTTTCCGTGACAGAAACTACCTCGTCAGGAAGATCTGGATTCGAAAAGTAAACGTCTTCTTGATTTGTCTGATACTGTGAAACACGAGTTATATCTCTCCCACGTAAAGGGGCTGAGACTTCAAGTGCCTTGTCATAATCCGCATCGTGTGCTGCCTCACCGGAGCTTGAGTCTTCTAACACTTTAGAAATCTCTGAATCAAAGGTTCCTGCATTTTCCTCTTCACCAGTGCTTTTTACCTCTTTCTTCAAACTCCACGTGATGTGTCTTGCTGCTTGATATTCAAAGGTAATGGCTGTTTTAGTACTCTGGTCTTGATCCGTCACTCCTGTCTTCCACGTCTCTGTAGATACTTTGAAATGAGAAGGATCTACATCTATACCAATAGTGCTGTCTTCATGTGGGTCGAAACAAATTCCTTTCAATGACTTTTTTAGGCTGGTCTTTCCTGCTCGGTCTTGACCAATCAGCATTATTGGAACCCTCCTCGTGATCGTTTTTCCATCGGCAAGGGCTTTTTTGTATGCTTCCACGGCCACAGGACCTCGCGCAAGTATCTCAGGAGGAACTACAAGATAGAATATTATTAGGCAGAGTAAATATTATAGGCCGATAATTATTAGGTGGAACAATGCTTTATGATACAGTGGAACCTCGACTTAACAAACCTTTATATAACGAAGTCCTCGGTATAACGAAAGATTTTCTTCATCCCGGCTAAAATTACAGTAAAATGTATGGAACAGAACCTCGATTAAACGAAATCCTCATTATAATGAACACAATCCACACGCGCAAACGTAAAATTTACCTCGATATAACGAATAAATATCAGGATGTAACAAAAGATGAAAGCCAAACAAACCAACAAGGATAAAATTTATGAGTACAGTACTTTTAAGCATTTTTGTTTACCTGTTATTGAGTTTCTGGTGCTGTAGCTATGTATAGCTCGGTACTGAAACGTTATTTCAGTAATTTTTCAGATCCGGAAATGCTGGGTTTTGTAAATTAATTAATTGCTATACCTTGATATAACGAGCCCTCGATATAAAGAACGAATTTCCCCAGTCTCTTGGCACTCCGTTAAATCGAGGTTCTACACGGCCAGCATTTAACATGAAAAAAAATTGAGTGTATTTTGTAAAGTTTGTCCGGAATTAAAAACGGCTGGTGCGGTAACTTTGATTGAGCGGGACAGCTATCTTCAAAATTAGGTTGGCGGTATTTTTTTGGCTTTTAAAACCAGTAACTTCTTACTTTCGTTCGGCCTCAGTTAATAGTTCTGTGTCGAAGGAAAAGAAAAATTAGACAGGTCTGAGGAATTCCATAATACCAAAGAACAATTTGAACCACAACCGATATACATACGTTCTCCCTGCACGACAATTTCTTGTACTTTCTTTACAAACTGAAAGAACTTTGGTAGTGTCGCAGTTACTTTCTCCGGTTCCCAATCTTTGGTATTGAGCAACGTGTCCCACTCATGGCAGTGAAGATGAAGGTCAGTCTGTCACGTAAAACAAAAAAAGGAAAAATCCACGGTATTCAAACTGACAAGATATAGACTCCTTAAAATAATGACTGAGTCTTAATGAATTTTCCTTTGCGATAAAGGTGATAAGTGTCATGTAATTCGGTATTCCTCAGTATCTCTGAAATATTTTTAAGCATTTCTTTATAAGCAATTGTGTGTTTCCCTTACGAATCCGCTACAAAAATGGTAAAAAAGAATCATGGCAACTGATTACAACAGCTTTTAAGCCGTTGTAGAAGCTTTAAAAAAACTTTTGTAAAATACTATGGTCAAGAAGTACCGATTCTCTGGAATCCTCGTCAAGCCCATCAGTACGCCAAGAGGTTTCCTTGGAAAGAATGGTTGTGAAGCCTGGCCAGATTTCATACACAGATCTTTTGGAACACCTTTTATAAGTGACATGAAATCCCTGGGGTAATTTCTTCTCGGGGAGTCGGCAAAATTTAACGCCTCTTTCTTCTGTCAAAGTCAGCTCGGATAAGTATTTCGCCAAAGTGTGTATAACCTCTTCCTTAGGTACATAGTCTGTCGCGAGGACGAAATCTGAGGAGAGAAAATACACGTACATCTTAACATGTATTTAAATAATGCATTTGAAGGCAAAGAAGTGGAACAAGTGTGATCCTGGTCAAATTGCATAGTGCACTTAAGGCAAAACTCGTGCAAGAAGATTACGTGACGCGAATACCCGTTAACGCCGGTTTCCCGCGTTTTGTCTACGAAGGTTATTTGAAGTAAAGAGACCAATCAGCTTCGTTCGGTCAGGTCGAATTTTCTGAGACAATCGCATTAAGAATACCCGCAATTAAGTCCAATTTGTTAATATTAACCTAACATGCAGCAACTTTAATTTCATTTCTTTTAAAACATGTTCTTGTGATGCATGTAGCACATCATTTCACAGTTTAAATCAACCTGTTGTAAAATTTGTTTCATAAATCTAAAAATGGAGGATAGAGTTTCACTTCCTTCATAAACACATCAAATCATACCAATCCTTCCACGAATATTAAGCCTGCAATCAAATGGGCAACCAGGGAACAAAATATCTGCCTGTAAGTATTTGCGAGATGGTAGAATAAGCCATCCTCTGCATCGAAACCGTGTAGCTTTATCTTTGAACTCTAACTCCTTTAGAATGTTCTTTACGTCACTCAGAGGAACTGGTATGTCTTCCAGTTTTTTGCCGACATTCTTTTTTGTGACCCACACCTTTGGACGAGAACAACATATTTAAATATAAAGCTTGGTAGGAAACCAAGACGGTAATCCGGCTTAACGCAGAGCCCAAGAAAACTTTGACACACCGTAGAATGGTAGAATTGGTAGCTTGAGAGATACTTAGTCATTGCGGGATGGTTATTTAATGTCTAACTTAAAACGCAGGGGAGCTTGAGCTTCAGGTCTGTATTTTTCAAATAAGACAAGTAATTAATACACCAGACATTTATTCTACACTAAGATGGAGGAATTACATGCTTAGCATTTTAGTTTCGCAAATAAACGAGCAGCATCACAAGAATAATCTGAGGAGTAAACTAAGCTTGAATTATGGACGTACGCTCGTTGATTCACAAAATGCCTAGCAAGAGCAGAAAGACATAATCAGGTAATTCTCCGAGGTAGCAGTAAACCATCAGTTTTTGACAGATTTTCCCAAACTATTCAGCCAAATATGAAACTCGTCTTGAAATTCAGTCTACTGCCTTCCCAACAGTCTTTATCCAAAAACACTCTCTAACAGGTTTAATGTCGGCTAGTACGCGACCTTTTAGCAAGACAAGGTAACTAACTGGTTGGTGGACTTTCACCGTAAATTACACTTCCATTGAAGTTTCAAGTGGCAATAAATCCACGCGACTCTAAGAAGTACACCCCTGTCTAGTAAAGGACTACTTTACGTCACCAAATAGTACACCAGAATAAGGAGTTTTCAGCGCTTTTGTTCTTTACAAAGAGTATGTTAATGTTTGTTCAACAATTTGACTTGGTAGTATCTTAACTTATTGGTTGATATATACCTCATCCTTACAAAGTGGCAAATATTGATCAAAAAATATTCTCTGCTGTATGATATATGAACCTCACCTTCATCATTACTTGATGACTACACGGTGTTACAAATGCCACCTCATATCTTGCCTCATAATCTGCATAGTCTTCTGGAGTTGTGTTGCAAATATGCTTTTCAAAGATTTTCCCGTTCAATTCCACTCCTGATTTTAATGCAACTTTCCAGTATTTCTCTTCTGATGACCTGAACTTGTTTAATGCCGCGTCAATACTCCACTTTCCTTGATCAGCTTCATCTGCACACAAATCCGATATCAAGGTATTTAGAAAAGCCACAGGCAGTAAGTGAGCAATATAGTTGCCTCGGCAGTGTTTTGGCACAGAGGCACAATCTGAACATTCCCAAATTTTTTTCACGTTTAAGGGAAATAGCTTCAAACGAAAGAATTAGCAAAATGGTTTCATCTGCAGTCTTTCATCGAAGATTACACAAAACATGCATACTATTAGTATGGGTTAAAAAAATCATGTACACTACCTTGTTCAGGTCCTCGGATAAATGCCTTTCCAAAATGACACCACATGTCTGCTTTCAGGTCTTCCTTTGTCTCTCTTTCTTGTTTTATCTTACCGAGACACTCTAATGCATCACACTCAAGTTTTGACAGATAGGTTGGTTCTTCAGATGACATGCAATTTTCCTGGATAAGCAAATTTAACACAATTAACAGAAACGAACCTTATAAAGAGTTTCATTAATTCATTCAATCATTCCCATTTATTTATACATTTATTCATTTGTGTATTTATTATTTTATTTATTTATTTTCGTCAGCCTTTTAAGGCCACCCTAAAAACAGTTGAGAGTCTCGACAATCACTAGTAATGGTACTAGGACTGAGTTAAGTACAATTCAGGGAGTAATCCCGCGAGAAATTTCAAGCACGAGGACGATCTGAAATTACGAGCATGATAACCCAGAATAACCTTGAATTGACGCATTCTGCTCCAGTGCGAAACAATAAAGAAATGCAGGGGGAGGCTCAGGTGGACAACTCCATACAAGTCACTGTATTTTGTCCACCCAAGCCGCGAGTTGATGCCTTTGTTCACAGGAATGCGGGAAAGGTTTATTGTGCGACACATTGTCCTATTACCATTTAATCGTGTCAATAACAAAGTGCAAGAATCTCAGGCTTGGAATATTTTAGTTAACAGGCTAATAGAGGTAACAACAATAGAAGAACTCTCGTCGGGATAGCCAGAACATAGCCCTAGCCGCTTTACAGAGTTGGTCGCTTAATAGAGGTTTAATTTACCATTCTCTTCTTGATTACTTGCCGCTTGATAGAGGGTCGCTTAATGGAGGTTCAACGGTATTTACGCATGAATTCACCTGCCAAAAGTTTGGCCAGTCTGGGACTAGATTGGTCCTGGACCGTGACCCAAGCTAAACGCAAAGCCTTAAAAATTCATTTTTGAAAAGTTTTGTCGTAAGTCAAAAACAAGAAACTTCAAGATTTTCACCGAAGAAACTACATTGGTTGCCTCTAAGCCCGGTCTGTGTTTCGCCAAGACAGACGCAAAGTGCATGTCTGGATCTCCCTATCCTCCCTTGAAGAGCTTACCCCTCCCTTCCCCCTCCCTTAGTGTCTGTGCGGGTGAGCGTACGGGTGTGCGCTGGCGCCATAACCAAACTTTCTCCCAGCGATAGGTCTCCACTTTGTATAGCATTGGAGGCTCCGCAATGAATAATGCATCTATTGGCTTCAGACGCGCGAGTCGCATTAGCAAAATGCGAGCCCACAGTCTTATTCTCGGTTGGGGTGGTCAGCGCCACTTTATAAACTGTATAGCCAAGTTTTTACAAAATCTGTCTACATGATTCTTAGGATACCCTTGTTGTGTCAACTAATATACGCCACTATTCAGCTCGTCGATTTCAAAGAATAATAGCGACTCAATAGTACTAGATAATGCAAGCCAGCGCGCACTATGCTATAAAACCTGATTGGTAATTAAAAGTGGATTTTACTGTGAAGCGCGATTAAACACATTTTCTGATTCTATCTTGTATACTGCAAGCCCCTTCATACAGCATATAAGCCAAAAAAAAAAGAACAAAAACAAAAACAAGAACACCTGTTCCTGGTACATGTTGTCGTCGGCTGGTTTCAGCCGGTACTGGGTATCCGGTTCCGGGATAAAAGCACGATCATTTTGACCAACTCTCTCTAGTTTGAGTGGACTGTTCTCTGGAAGTTTCCAGCCATCGATGTAGACACGGAATTTGTTATACTCGTTTTCCAGTCCTCTGAGTCTCGCCCCTGCCTTACAATTAAAAAAAAAAAGATGGATTTGGGTGAAAGGATGGAGGAATAAATGAAAAAGTTTCTCGCTGGGGATCCAGCCACAGAGAGACTGGCTGCATGTGACGTTGAGGCAGAATTCTATCGCCCCTTTTTTATAAAAAGGTGATTTAGCACTTAAACATTTACTGCTGTGTCCTATGTTTGCTAAAACTTGCCAAAACCGATCGTGTGGAATATCAGTTCAAACAAAGTTGTCTGTTATCTTCGGTTCCGGGGAGTAAGCTCATAATGTATTTTGTCTTTAAAAAGCTTGGGGTATAAGTGGACCATGAATTCTTGGTGGGAGTGTACCGCCCGATTCTCCAAATCCTGACCCTATTTAAGATCAAAAAGGTCATTTTTCATATCCGTTTTTAGACCTGGCTTCTATAATCTATACTCGTTTTCAGGCCAAAACGGAGCAAAAACCCTACCCTTTTGGGCGGCACACACCTATATGGCTTATATAAGGGAGTTCCCCCCAGGGCTTTTCTATAACGGGGAAAGAGATGTCATTCTTAAAAATTAAACGCACAAATTCAGATATAATGAATGGAGTCTTGATTTACTTACAACTTTTACTTTTATTTGCAACTTTGCCTGTTCCCTTTGTTTCTCCGTTCCACTAATAATGTATACTTCCCCATCTCTACGTATAACTTCTGCTCCCGTACACCTGCTTATCTCGATGAGATTTTTTCCCCATTTGCCGAACACCAAGCCTTTGTATGGTTTTGGAACTTCTACTAGCTCGCCAGGTGGAGCTTCTTTGGATTTTCGTATCTGTATTTCTTTCTGTAAAAATGATTGTATAACTAAACGCAACGCAGAAATCAACAGCTAGTTTTTAAATGTGCCAGGTGAGAATACCACCAAACTTGTACAAGCTTTGTCAGTGCACCGTAAAATTGACTTCTGAGTGAAATGCATGGTTTAGTTTAAGGAACTTACTACAATCTTGAACAAAAAGTGTTGAGAATGTTGCACTTTCTTACTCACAAAACGCCTATCCCGCGGATTTGGTACCGCTATGGCCTCTTCCCTCGCCCAACCCTGGTCAAAGTTGTTTATTCAAGATCAAAAATGATCCAGCCAGACTTCAACATTGTTTTTTTCGGGGGAAGGGGGAGTATTTGTAGTTGCCAGTGCTTTCCAGAGCTTTATCTTGAAACCAGACATGGTAATGTCCACTGATTTTTCTCAACATTTTTGTCCAAGATTGTAGGCTGTGAGCGTACTATTGTACTAAGGCCAAACTTGCAAGAGTGCCTGTGACTTAATGGATAAATATTATTTTGTTTTCTGTCTTCCGAATCACCTAATCGTCGTGCATGATCTTTGTTTGTTTGTTTGTTTTTTTCAAAAATAGACTAACAAAACATTTTTTTCACACAACCTACCACTTTTTCTGTAATGAGCTTCTTAGCACATTCACGTTGTATTTTATTACCACTGATCCAAAACCCTTCTTCCTTTATGCTCTGTGAACGAATGCTTGCTCGTGATTTTTTCTCAATTTCGTCTATCTCGCAGCGACTTTTTCCCAGCACGTACTTTTTTATATCTCTTGGGACCTCCACAAAGTCATTCTTTATTTCCTCCTCACTGTCTTTCCTGTTGTCACGAACGATGACCAAAAGTTAACCTTCTGATCGCCTCAGAGTCATCAAAAGATGATCAATAAACGTTAAGTGACTGGCCGGTATTTAAGATGCTAATTTCAATTTAGGTCGAGACAAACCCTGTATTGATAAAGTGGTAATTTTAACTACTTTAAGGGAATATTATCAAAAAATCGCTTTACAGCTATCGTCTATGTTTTCCCATAAAATTTGTTTTATACAAGTACTTAGCTACACCCGCAACAAATTAGACCACTTTAGCCTTATTTGTGTAACCGGGGTGACGGCGGGGGTGGGGGGGGGGGGGGGGGGCTGGGGTGGGGTGTTTGTTGTTGCGGTCGTTTGGGGGTTGCCGTTGCCGCGGTTTTTGGGTGCGCACAGGTCTCAATTTGTCCAACACTTTTTGTGTAAGGGCATCTCCCGATTCCGGTGTAAGTATCCTCGTTCTCTCTATTTTCTCCACAAAAAAAGTTGTATGCGAGTTGTGGTGTTGGTAAAAAAAAAAAAAATTAAACAAATGTGCCTCCTCCCCCAAAAAACAAAAAAAATAAAATATTTTTAAAATTTTCCCCTAAAAAAAAATTTCCCCCCTCCTAAAAATTGGTTCCTTAAATTAAAAAGGGGGGGTGGGGGGGGGGGGGGAGGGTTCTGATGGGATGCTACTTGTCTCGTTCGTTTAGGGGTTTCAATTGCCGCCGATTTTGGTATCACACAGGTATCACATATATCAAAACGTTGTGTGTAAGGGCATCATCCTATTTCGGTGTAAAGATTCTGGATAGCTCCTAGCTTTGTTAGGCTTCTTAATTGTCATAATAATTTACAATTTCACTAACAACTTTTGTTGTTATCACGTCCAGATTAGTCTCTGTAACTCAAAGATCTGATTCCAGTTTTTCAACCCACATTCCCCCCCCACCCTATTTCAAATGGGAGCTTGTCCTCCCTCCCATCAGAGGTCATGTGACAATGCTCATTAGAATATGGCTTTTGTTTTTCCATAAATTATGTGTACATTAATTCTGAGGGTAAAAACAAGAAAAAATCTCTGGAGTAACATCAAACAGGCTACATGGAAAGAACAATGATGCACCCAGATCCCACATACTCTATAAACCTACCGCCAGACACAGTGACAATTATAAGATCCTGTCCACATATGTTGTGGTTTAATTTTATCCTTGGTTTAAATTTTACTTTCCTTTGTTCCAAACTCATTATAATCATCATACATTTCCCTTCCCCAAAACAAAGGAAAGTAAAATTTAAACCAAAGGTAATATTGAACCAACACATACAGCTATTTCATGGAAGGTTAGGTGAAAAAATGTGCGTGCATTACAATCCCAAAAGGTAACATGGGATATGATCGATACACTGTTCCTGACACTGTGGCTGTAGAACCTACTTTTGTTACTTTCCCTTTAGCACTCGTAAACATACGTCTATGGCCTCTTGTGCCATTCTTTCAAATTTCTTTGAAGAACACTGTGAACTCGAAACCACCCCATACCTTTCCGGATTGTCGCATGCACTTTTTCCGACAATTAACCTTTCTCGAAATAGCTGTACAAATATATTAAATAAAAAAAAAACGGAACAACAACCAACAATGAACCAACAATGGGGTATATTTTCCCCTCGTAACCGACTCTACCCAAAATAACTTAAAATCCCTAGGACAAATTTATGAAAAGGATTTTATTAGTTACTAACTGTGGAGAGCTTAATTTTACATGCGTGTGGGGGGATTAGTATATTCACACAACTATAGTCATGGCCTGAAATGTCACCATTTGCAGAGTGAGAAAGGCTAGCACTCTCCACGTGTTGTATACTTGTATGATTATATAATCATATGCTTTCCCTGAATAACAAAGATATACTCTAATCTCAAATTTAATTGTACATCAAACAAACAAATTTTACCTGAACTACAATCCTTGTGTTTATAACCTACATGGCACCAGCATTTAAAAATACCCATTATTATTAATCATTCAAAATATTTCTCCCATTCTGATTAGCTAAAAGCACATGCATAATTCACCATAACCCGTTACTGAAGACCAAATTAGGAAGAATTTTGGGTTTAACGAGGAAATGACGTCAAAAATGCAGTATTCTTGCAGGTTAATAATGCACAGTTAACCGAGAAGACCTGGGGACGAGGTTGAGTTGTTTTGATTGTGAAAACAAAAAATGACGAACATTTCACTCGTTTCAAGAGTAAGAACATAAAGACGAAATAATATTATAGCTAAAAACATGGTAAGAACTGCAAGAACACAACTCGAAGGGCGACATCTGCTATTTGGAGAATATTTGCGGAGCTGAACAACCCTAAATGTGTACCTCCAAGGTGTCAAACTTAACATCGACGGAGGTAAGCATGTTTTAGCTTTGCTTTTAAACTAGGAATTATTTTGAATGAATAATAAAACAATTATTGAATTCGGCTTTCGTATCATAACAGTACACCCTCCTCGATCTCCATAATTCTTCATAAGATACTCAGCCTCGTTCATTAATTCTTAATTATTGCACCAAAGTGCAAAATATGCAGCCTAATGTTCATAACCAAGAGTTGGTGGTGGAAACAGCTTGTTTGACGTGCATCAACATGCCTACTAATCATGCATATTTAGGTTATTCAAATAACTCTGAATAACTCCCCAGACCTCACTCATGACCAGCACAATGTGACAATTGTTTTGCTTGTAAGCAAGAAAAATACATAAATTTTGCTCATTTTAAATCAGATCTTTTACAGAGGCTAGAATTCTCAATTTCCCCTTTAAAATTTTTACACGAATTTATTACATCACAGGGAGCGGTGCTCTTTCAGAAAAGTGTGGTGAATCAAAACTCAACCCCCCCCCCTTAAGAAAAGGGGGGAGGGGTAATTTTAAGAATGTGCCTTTCTAAACTCGTGATATAGTATGTTGCCAAGTATTCAGACACTTCAGTTTATCAGTGCAATAACTTTCCTTTGTTTAAGTCGCAAGAGCTCTGAAATTTGGCCCAGAGAAAATCTATTTATTCCTTAATATGACAAAAGCCAGTTTAACCTTTTTACGTTTGTTTCCATCGCAAAATTAATATTTTTGCAGAGCTCCTTTGTTGCCCAGTATCCGGACAGCTGGCCCAGTGTACTCGGCCACAACAAGAACAACGTAATTGTACATAAATTTTGACAGGCAAGCGACTTATACGCTTCTCTTGCACTTACAAAGTAGTCTGGCAATCTATTCCAAAAATATAACCTGGCATCGTGAAATAAAACTTAACAAATGACTGGGTATGGTGAGGAACACGAGCGGCTGTTTACTTCCTTGTCTAGGAACTTTTTCATTGATTTAAGGAATTAATTAAGGCATCCGTGGACATGCCGAAGACGCGGTTTGCAAGCTGCAAATGACTTTTTTTCTTTTTATTCTTAAAAAAAGCTTGGGGAAGGGACCTCAATCCGACATAAGAAACTATTCGCTTCTTCTGAGTTTCTACTATCATGTGATACTTGAACACCTTAAAACCTTTATACATACAAATTTTCGGTTTAAAAGGGTTCTTTGTTTTGCGATACAGGACGCTTAAATTTCCAGGCTTTTGCGTGACGACTGGCATTTAGCTGGCGGCCGGGGAGGCTCTTATGTGGGTTAAAAACATTACGGAGTTTTGGAGATTTTGCTATCTAAGCATTCCTTGTCTTAGAATAAATATTACTTTAATCTTTATGACTTCCTCAAGCAAAGAATTCACATATACGTAGGAAAACTCAAAAACAGATGTTTCTGTTGGTTTCCGGCGGCCATATGGGACACAAAAAAACATGGCGTCTCCATACAAAGCTTTATAAATTTGGGTAAAACGTTTTTCCCAATATCTCGCATATGAACAATTGCATAGACCTAATTCTCGGCAAGGCTTTTTTTATATTTATCTTCTTTCATTTCCCAGATTCTAGACTTTCTGTATTAAAAGGTTTCCATTTTTATTTCTGCTTTCTCACGGGAGTGAAAACCGAGAATTTAGTCTGACCTGCAGTGTTGATTTCTTCATTCTCAATCCCCACAATAAGCCCGCTTTTCTAGCTCTATACAAGTTCCTCCTTCTTTCACATCTCTCAATCCCTTTGTGACATTTTTCAGACCGTTGCAACCCCATTCTAGCAGTCACAACTGGGAAAAGTACTGTATGAGAATTCCAGCTCCGACGCTTCCGGTTATAATAGAAAATGCAGTCACGCGAATTGCGATCCAAGCCGTGCACACGAAATCAAGTCAGTCTGAGAGTGAAGAAAATTTCCATACGGAGTTGAATAGAATTACATTTTACGACTATATCATATATCCTATGTAGATATAGATATGAAATAAATCTTATCCGGATAATGTACACAGCTAATTCATCGATTCTGTACAGCAAAGAAAAAAACTGTCCCGATAATGGGCACCCGCTGACATCAATACTCAGTGAATGTTTCTGGCCTCCGTTTAATTCCAAACAAATCGAATTTCAAGAAGAATTAATAAAATTTCTGAGAACCTGACTTCTTTAAGTATCTTCACATTAAATATCAAACAGTTTCTTTGAAAATATCACATATTACCTACCCTTTTTTGAGCAGCACTAATTTCACCGCGCAGTAAACAGCGTAATATTATAGCCATGAAAAGTTTACTCACCTCATCAGAACGGCGTCTTCTGCGACTGTTTCGCAAGCTTTAAACTCGCCAAAACTTTCATCTTAAAGCTGAAATGTTCAGCTTTCATTCGAAACACTTCGTTTACCGAGAACTGAAAGGGCGCCTCAAAAATTGAGTTTTTGTTTTAATTGTCCGGATAGAGGCACCGTTCGGGAACCGGGCAACATACTGTACTGACTTGTATTATCATGAGTATTTAGATGGTAACTTACCGCTCTCCTCTTCGATCAAAGCCCTCGCTGGCCATGATTTTTAAACTGCGATACACCGTAAATGTATCAAACTTGTCTGGCGAGCTATACCTAATAAAGAGACGAGTTAGGGTTTGAAGGAAATACTCGAGAACGCTAGAGCCATAAACGAAACAACGATAACTTCCGCCTTCAGACGACGACCGCAAGTAGTAAAGGGATATTATAGTAGCCCATAACCCGTTTCGCAGATGTCACGCAATATTTGCAATTACAGTGGACCACCAATTAAGCGGACACCCTCTTTTAAGCGGACACTAAGCCGGGTCCCGAAATTAACGTTGTATTTGGGTAATTTCTATCGTTAAAAACCTCTATTAAGCAGACACCGGACTGAATTGACAGTAGTAGTATTGGATTACGTCCTTGAAATACCTACTGTCATCATCATCATCATCATCATCATCGGTCGGCTGCAGAGCAGGCGACTACGAGCTTCCTCCAGCCACAACGATCCTGTGCCAATTCAGACAGCTTGCCCGGGTCAATCATGTTGTCTGTGTCTCCCAAAAGGTGTTGAATGTATCTGAGAAACAGATAGTCGATTAATAAAGATAAATCGATACATTTAGCTGTCAAAAGTTCACCTAAAACTTTTGCACAAAGTACAACACAGCTTCCTTAACAACATGGAACTTTATCACATTACAGAGTAACCGGACAAGCGGACACCTTCTATCAAGCGGACACTTGGGAAGGTCCCAAAGGCGTCCGCTTAATAAAGGTTTTACTGTATTCGTACTCGTTTTCATATATAGACCTAAAACCACCGCTTTGGATCGATTTATCGGGTCGAATTTTGTAAAACTGCGAACTTTCATGCGGATTTGTCGTAACCATAGAGATATGGCGCCTGCTAATAATTTCAGTAACAAGGAAATGTATGGCATGGGGGCAGTCATACATTTCCTTGTAACTTGGTTGTAAAAATTCGACTGTTAAACAAGGAGCACATTTTCCCGTTTGTTTGTGACGAATCGTCGTAAAAACTTTGCAGTTTTACTAAGTTCGGCACGCAAAATCGATCTTCTATAGCACGGACCCTTGTAAGTGCCACACGCGCGCGCGTATAGACATCACACGCACGTTTAGACATCGCACTGCGGGAAAAAAACCTAATTGTAAATTGTAACACTCGGTTTTTTATCATCAGATCTTTGGAAAACGTGTTGAGAGCGCTGGCGCACTTGTTCTCTAGAGAAGATATCTCTCGAAATGAAAAAAAAAGAAAAAAAACCCAGTGAATCAAACAATGTTATATAAGAGTAATCTGTTTCAGGAGCCGATTAAAGTAATCGGCTCCTCTCTGTTTCCTAAGATTCGGAAAGCAAATTAAGTTCTAGTTACAAGCCCTTCTAACTATCCAAGTGAATAATTTATGTTATTATTCATTCAAAATATTTTCCCGATTCTGACTGGCTACCAGCACACGTTTAATTCACCATAACCAGTTACTGATGACAAAATTTGGAAGAATTTTGTGTTTAACAAGGAAATGACGTAAAAAATGCAGTCCTCCACAGGTTAAGGCACCGAGAAGACCTGGGGACGAGGTTGAGTAGTTTTCGTTGTGAAAACTAAAATGGCGGACACTTCACTCGTTTCAAGAGTAAGAACTACGCTGGAACTAGACGAAATAATGGCTCAACACTTAGCAAAAACAGCAAGAAGACAACTGGGAGGGTGACATCTGCTATTTTGAGAATATTTGAGGAGCTGGACAAACCTAAACGTACGCTATCGAAGATAAACTTAACATAAACTTAAACTTAAACTAGGAATTATTTTAAATAAATAATAAAGCAATTAATGAATTCAGCTTTCGTAGGATATGAAGAATTAAGCAGATCTCGGCCTTCAGCCTCGGTGGATAACACCCTCCGAAATCTGCTTAATCCTTCATATCCTACGAAAGCTGAATTCATTAATTGCTGATTATATTTATTTATTTATTTACCTATATTTATACAGGATTTGCCCGGGGGCAGCAAAGGGTTCTGATACGTGACGCGTGATTAGTCCCGTTTTAGCGCGTGACTCATAAGTGATCCGTGAAACCAGTTATGCATGTGAAGCGTGAATTATTTGTCACATTACGTGAAAATCAACAGTATAGGACAAAATGGATTGAACAGTGCCGTCGGTTGCATTCTTTACATTACCTTTTTGTTCAGGTTAATAATTACCAAAAGACTAGACCCTAAAACTACACATGGTTAGTGATCTTTAGCCTGCGTAGCTGGCGGTATTGAGTGGGTGCGAGATTAAAGTTTTGGCGGCGGAGCCGTGTTCTAAAAAAAGGGAGTAGGGACGAGGCGGTTGAAATACCGCCTGCCAGAAAACTCCGGTATTTTGAATAGTCCGCACTCCAGTGTGCGGGGAAACGGATTGTCGAGGGCCATACATATGTCAATCATGTAATAAGAACCTTAACGCTCAAAAATACGAATCCTGTCAGAACTACAGACTACAGGTAGTAGTTAATCATTATGCATGTCACAGACCAGCTTCATGGCCTCTTAATGTGAGACAAGCAACCAAAATTAAGATTAACATAGTCAGAGTTTAAAACTCTCCACAGTATAATCTACCCGCTAGAAAGAAAAGAAGGAAAATCTCACTAGCTTATGATTATGTTTGGCCTGTCAACACCGAATTTCCTGCTGTTTGATGAAGCACAATAGCAGTGTCATTTCGTCGTTGTGATTGGCGCTTCCCACCGTCGGCGCGCGAAGTCTCCCCTGGGAACCGTTCTAATTATAAATCTACTCGGGAGAGGGTTGACCCCAAGGGCTTGTATGGGAGATGGAGGCTCCATTTGATGGGCTTCTGTCCATGGATAGAATAATATTACTATTAACAAAGCATTGAAACGGTTAACACCATTTCCTTTTCAATAGAGAATGACCTTCTCATTCTTATTAAACTTCCCTGTTAATCGTTGTTAACCGTTCCTAATCTTCGCAGCCGCTCAAAAATGTCCTGTTAATCGTTCCGACTTGCAGATATTGTGGAGAGAAAAAGATTAGAAGTCAACTATGGCAACTTTTATCATGCCTTGGTTTACAAATTATCAATTTAGGTCATAATTTTTCCTGTCATATGTAACCGGAAGACAAAACGTGCACTTTTACAGGTCACGCGATAGTACATCTTGTCACGTTATCGCGCGTGACATTTCTAGATTTCATAGTGTGTTTCTCTGGACTGGATATCGCTACAATGTCAAAAGTAAGCATGCAAATGTGAAAAGTAAAAATGCAGCTTAAATTTGTCACAGAGACTCGAAACCCAAACTTGTCACACAGACGGAAAACCAAATTTGTCACACAGACGCGAAAACTAAATTTGTCACACAGACTTGTAACACAGACGGAAAACTAAAGTTGTAAAACAGACGCGAAGGCTAAATTTGTCACACAGACGCGAAAACTAAATTTGTCACACAGACTTGTCACACAGACGGAAAACAAAATTTGTCACACAGGCGCGAAAATTAAATATGTCACACAGACTTGCCATACAGACGGAAAACTTAAGTTGTCACACGGACGGAAAACTAAGTTGAAACAAAGATGCGAAAACTAAATTGGTAACACAGACGCGAAAACTAAACTTGCCACACAGACGGAAAACTTAAGTTGTAACACAGACGCGAAAACTGTAAACCTGTACACAGATGCGAAAACTAAACTAGTAGCACAAACGCGAAAACTAAAACTTATAACACAGAAGCGAGAACCAAGCTAAAAGACCAACAACGCCTAGCCCGAAAAACGCGCGAAGGAAAACGAATACAAGGACAAGAGAAAACACTAACCTCCTGAGCCGCAGGTTGGGGCGCAGGAACCACGTTGTCGTTAGCGTTCTGTGCGTTGTTGTCACCGGCAGCGTCGGCTGGAGCCGGAGGCGCGACAACTGGAGGGTCAACGGCCGCTGCAACAGCCCCATCCGCAGGAACTGCAGGGACTTGGTCCGGCATGGAGAACGAAGAACCAAGAGAATCTTCGAAGATGGCGCAGCGATGACAGGGCAAGAGAAAAAGAACGCCAAGCTAACGACTGGCGAACGTTTAACGAAAAGAGAATTAAACAAGCCAAAACAGGCCTATTCATACAAAACCTGTGTGAAACAGAACACCCAGGAGACTACGAGCGCGCGGAAATTTTTATCCTTGAATCCCGAAGGGATTTGGGGCGTTTGTACGAGATGGCCCCAGTGAGAATAGCGGGAGCGATTATAAACATAACAACATGAGTGAGGTGTTGTGTTACAAGGTAGATTAACACTGCAGTGCAAACTCTGTCGACGGTAAATCGTCGAGATTGGTAGAAATGGGGCTAGAATGTGAATAAAAGATGAGGAATACAACATCGAAATAAGGCCAGTTAACTTTTATTCAAAAATTAACGTTATTAATTTTTTTAAAAAAAATTTTAAATCAGTCGCGATACCATACAAACCTTTATAATCATGAACCGACCGTTACAACACGACACCTCACATTTGTTTGCGAGCTCACATACAATCGTTCCGTTGAACGACCTTGTAACACAACAAATTCTCAATCCACTAACACGAGATATTCGATGTGAAAACCTATATTGAGGATGGGTCAGTCAGTCATCTGATGGAGATGTCAAATCAATGATATCCTTCTACCAAGATACTAATATATGTCCTAAGCTAAAACTTATACCACGCCAGATACGAAAAACCGCTTAAATCCTTAAGAAGTGGCCAAAAAAAATGTGTGGAAACGTATTCCTTTGCAGTGCCACGTAAAACGCTTGAGAAGGAGATCAAGGAAAATACTTAACAATTCTGACAATTATTCCTCGAGCCCGAATGGGCTCTGAGTCTATAGTCTATAGTCTATATATTGACTCAGAGGTCATGACGGCGAGAGGAATAATTGTTTAGGTAAAATCCAACGAGTTGGTCAAAAATATCGAGACCAGACAACTTTAACTAGTAAAACGCGATTCAGCCGCCATTGTTTTGGTTTTCAAAGCCGGCGCTTTTCGCTACTAGTGGGCCATAACATATAGCCTAGTAGTAGCTCAACCAATCAGAACGCAGCATTGATAATAGCCCACTAGCTGGATTTTACAAAATTACAATATT